CATATTCTTTGATTCTCAGAGACACCAAAAATCTATATTGTCCTAATAATAATTTTCCTGATGGCGCATCCTCAACCAAAACTCTAAAGATTCACAATCATCTGAGCTTGGGAATGTCTCCTCATCAAGATATTTATTGTAAAACTGTGCACCCCCGTTTTAGATTTTCAGATCTTACCATCTGTCCAGTCAAACCCCTTCATGATCTGGAACATTTCAATGAAATCACATCTGATTTTTCCCAACTCAAGAGAATATATAGCCATTTACTCTGTCCCCTCATCATAGGACGTCCTCCTCATCCGAAGGACTAATTGAGTAAACCTTTGGAGGAATACAGCAATACAAGAATATCTTCCTTAAATATGGAGGTCAAAATTGCATGCAGTAATCCCAACTGCCCAAAGTTTAGCAGTGAGGCTTTTTGTACTCCAATTCCCTTGCAAGAAAGCCTTACATACCATTACTTTACTAATTGCTTACAGTGCCCGGTAATTGGTCACAGTCCACAAGGACATCTCTCTCCATTTGAGACAGTTGGTAGTACACATCATTGGGCCGACATGGTGGCTCAGTGGTCAGCACTGCTGTCTTACAGTGCCAGGGTCCCGAGTTCAATTCCATCCTTACGTGAGATAACAAGGGGCTGGATGAACACAGCAGTCCAAGCAGCATCAGAGGAGCAGGAAAGCTTAGTGACTGTCTTTGTGGAATTTGCGCATTCTCTCCAAGTCTATGTGGGTTTCCTCCTACTGCTCTGGTATCCTCCCAAAGACCAAAGATGTGCAGGTTATGTGGATTGGCCATGAGAAATTCAGGGCTAGAGGTGTAGGTTAGGGTCTGGGTAGGATGCTCTTCAGAGGGTTGGTGTGGATTCAATCGGCCAAATGGCTTGCTTCCACACTGTAGGGATTATATGATTGTATTATCACTTGACCCAAACCCATCAGACCTGGCTGAGCTGATATCCCCTCACCTGATCTCCAACCCCATGAGACCTGATACCTCTGCATCTGATGTGCAATGTCACCCAACCTGTTGATCTGTTCTCATCAAATTCTGTTTACCAAGTGCATTGTTATATACCTTCCTGATGATACATTGTAGAACTTTCCTGAAGACTGATATCTTGAAAACTGGTAGTTTACTGTTTTCTATCTCTCTCCATTCTTGAAAAGTGTTGTTGAATTGCTAGCATCCAACCAGTTGAGACCATTCCAGAATCCAGGAAACTTTTTAAATCGTAGCCAACCTATTCACTATCATTGCATTTAATTCTTTTCAAGCCTTAGGATGTAGACTATCAGGTCCTGGCAATTTATCAGTTGTTACCTCATTGCATTTCTCTATACTTTTTCTCTGCTGATGTTAATTACTTTAATTGCTTCACATTTGATGTACCTCGGCTGCCCTCTTTTTTTTTTTGTATAACTTGCATTTTCCACTGTGTAGATTGACACAAAGTGAAGAAGACAAAGCTACTAGTTCAGAGGATGTTCTGGTAGCTGATGGAGATGGAAGTAAATTAGAGTCATAGAGATACACAGCACGGAAACAGTCCCTTTGGTCCAACTCATCCATGCCTACCAGAAATCCTAAATTAACCTAATCCCATTTGCCAGCATTTGGCCCATATCCCTCTAAACCCTTCTTATTCATATACCCATCCAGATGCCTTTTAAATGTTGTAATTGTATCAGTCTCCATCACTTCCTCTGGCAGCTCATTCTATGCACTCTGCTTGAAAAATTTGCCCCTTAGGTTCCTCTTAAATCTTTCCCCTCTCACCTTAAACCTATGCTGTCTAGTTTTGAACTACCCTGAGGAAAAGACCTTGTCTATTTCCCTATCCATGCCCCTCTGATTTTGTAAACCTCTATAAGGTCACCCCTCAGCCTCTGATTCTCCAGGGAAAATACCCTCAGTCTGTTCAGCCTCTCCCTATGGCTCAAACCCTCCAACCCTGGCAACATCCTTGTAAATCTTTTCTGAACTCTTTCAAGTTTCACAATATCCTTCCTATAACAGGGAGACCAGAATTGCACGCAGTATTCCAATAGTGGCCCAACCATGCCACAACATGACCTCCCAACCCCCTATACACGGTGCACTGACCAAATCTGGAATTGCTGTTCTCAGTTATGATGACCATGGAACTAACATTGATTGTCATAGAAACCCATCTTGTTCGCTAATGTTCTTTAGAACAGGAGACCTGTCATTCCTACTTAACCTGGCCTAACTGTGTCTCCAGACCTATAGCAATGTGGCTGGCTGTCTGTAAACTGCCTTCTCAAATAGCATAGCATGCCACTGTGGGGACCTAAGGGGTTCTGAGGAAGGGTCACCGCACCCGAAATATTAACTCTGTTTTTTTCCTTCACTGCCAGATGCTGCCAGACCTGCTGAGCTTCTCCATCAACTTTGTTTTTGTAACATGCCACTCAGTTCAATCACAGTTTGGGAACAACAACAAGTGCTGGCCTCACCAGCAGCGTTTGCATCCCATCAAAGTCCAAATTAAGTTATTTGTTTAAGGACACTGCCACTTCCCAAGTTAATTTCTCCTACCTCTTCTTCTAAGGGACCAACTTAAGCTACTGTCTTGCAATTTATCTGCTTTATGACAGGTGAGGATGTGTTAATTGGTTCTTCTCTTCAACCCCTGCAGTTGGCCTCAAAAAAGATTTATGTTCTTTAGCACAGGTCTATACATTTCGTCAAAATGTAGTTTACAACGGTTTCCACCAGCAACAGTAACCAAGTACAATATTTTTAAGTGAAAAAAGAGCAAGTTTATGATCTGTTAATTCCAAAAGCAACAATAAAGGAATATACTTTTTCAAGTCCATAGCATGTTCTTTGACCTTTAGATTTTAACTTGTGACTATAGTTATTTAATTGGTGTTTTGTATCCTCAGCAGAATCTTGCAGTAGTCTTTTGAGTTCTTTGTGTCCTGATGTTTCTGTCAAATCAGTCCTGTCACCAGGCACTTTTCCTCATGAGAGACGGAGAGTATTTTCAGGGTTTGGTTCTGCTGCCACAATTCTATCCTCCCTTTGCTGAGATAAGCAGCTGCTTAAAATGCAAGGTTGTTGGCTTTAAGAGGTGTATTTTAAGTAATTTCCAGCAATATCTGTTTTGTAAAGTTCCCAAGCAGAAAATGAGTTGCTTTTCTTCCTGCTTGCGCTAAGCTTTGCTTGAGCACTGTATCTAGCCTGTGATAGAGATGTTGGCCAGGGAACAAAGTGATGTGTTGAAGTGGCAGGCAACTGGAAGCTCAGGGTCTTTTTTGTGGATGGACTGTAGGTGTTCTGTGAAGCGGTCACCCAGTCTAGGCTTCATTTCCCCAATGTAGAGGAGACCACAGTGTGAGCAGTGAATGCAGCAGACCAGATGGGGTGAAGTGCAGGTAAAGTGCTGGTTCACCTGGTGTTTGGCCCCTGGATTCTGAAGAGGGAGGAAGTAAACGGGCGGGTGTTACACCTTTTGTGGTTGTAGGGGAAGGTGCCATGAGGATGTGGGGGCATATTGGGAGTGAGCGAGGAATGGACTAGAGTGTCCTGGACGGAATGGTCCTTGCAGAAGGCTGATAGGTTAGGGGAGGGAATATATATCTAGTGGTGGCATCCCCTGGAAATGGCAGAAATGGTGGCTAATGATCCTCAGGATGTAGATGTTGGTGAGACAGTAGGTGAGGACAAGTGAACCCCAACACTGTAGTGGGAGGTAAAAGACGGGGCAAGGACGGGGCAAGGATGGATGTGCGGGAGATGGGTCGGACCTGGCTGGGAGCCTTGCTCTCGGATACTTCCTCCTATCTCTTCCTGGACCATGACCCCACCATGTAACACTTGGCATGTCCTTACCCCAACCCTCTCAGACCAGGCCTTGTTATCACGTAGACTGCTATTACACACAACCCATTGCTAGCCACTAATTATCCCCATTAGTAGCTATTCATTCTCCTAGGGTGATTGTTATCGACTCCTTGTCTGTCCAACTGTTATAGATTCATACAGCATGGAAACAGACCCTTCGGTCCAACTAGTCCATGCTGACCATAATCCCAAATTAAACTACTCCCGCATGCTTGAGCTTGGCCCATATCCCTCCAAACATTTCTTATTCATGTACTCATCTAATTGTCTTTTAAATGTGGTAAGTGTACCTGTATCTATCACCCTCCTCCCCCAAGAAGTCCACTCCCCACATGAACCACTCCCCTTGTTCAAAAAAAAAAATTGCCCCTCCTGGCTTCTCCAAATCTGTGTTCTCTCACATTAAAAATATGCTCCCTTGTCTTGAAATCCCCCACCCGAGGCAAAAGACACACCATTCACCTTATCTATACCCCTCATTATTTTGTAAACCTCTATAAGGTCAGGTGTCAACCTCCTATAGTCCAGTGAAAGAAGTCCCAGCCTCTCCAATCTCTCCTTCTAACTCAAATCATCTTCTCTCTCTTTGGGCTGTATCTGCACCTATTATTTACTCCTTACCCCCTCCCCACATGCTATCGTCTGCATAAAAACCAATCGTTTCCTAGGTGCCATCAGTTCTGAGGAAGGGTCACTGGACCTGAAACATTAACTCTGATTTCTTTCCACAGATGCTGCCAGACCTGCTGAGCTTTTGCAGCAATTTCTGTTTTTGCCTTTAGGAATGTATATTTTCAATAATCTTCGCTGGGAGAAGGAGTTTGGCCAGTTTATTTGTGTTCTTCTAGAATTATGTCTCTCTTTTTGTAGTAGGCGTGAAAAAAAAACACAGCAGGCATCAGAAATGTGGACTTTTACGAGGAATTTTATTCATATTATTAATAATTCAGATCTCTGCTTTGATAACAGGATTTGTCATTCTTAGACAAATTGTTGGCAATGTTTCTTTTGTACTCCTGTGAAATGTCTTGGGATGTTCCATGTTACTGACATGGCAAATACACACATTATATTATCATTAATGGTGTTACTTTTTCTAATATTCATTTTTTTTGTAGAAGTGTTGTGATAGCTCCTAAAAAGCCTTTGATTGCTGCTGGAAGTGAAACTGTAACTCCTGCTGCCACAGATGCAGTTAGTGTGGTCTCTACTACTGACTCTGCTGAGAATACTGCCATTGAGCCTACAGGTAAATCTCTGCAATTTTTTTCCTGGTTTGGTATGCCAGAAGTACTTTAATGACTCATCCTAAAATGTAATATGAAATGTTTTGAAATTTAGAACCTATTTCCAACTTAGCTAATATTAACCTAAGTGATTTATATTTAACTTATTAGGTTGAAATGTTTCATCAGAATATCATAACAGGTTGTTTCCAACAAGATGCCTTGTTGAAAGGCAAATTTGAAATTTCCTGTTCTTTTGTAGTTTGCGGTGATTGATTTCTGGAAAGGACTAAATGCATTTGCATTTCATACAAAGTAGCTTTTGAAACTATCTTACATTAGCTCAGCAGATTCATTGAAAAATTGAGCTGCTAATATGCTGTCGTGACGCAACGTTTCATCTTGCTCTCCCAGTTAACTGAAATGGATCCTTTCAGAATATGGGGCCATATGTTCTTACTGTTACAGATCTTTGTTGATGCTGTTGAGAGTGCTATTAGTGTAGCAAAATTAAGGTAGATAATTAATGTTTGATAACACATGACTCTGGTAACTGCCTATAAACTGCTGGTATCCGAAATCTCTGAACTACTTAAAATTTTTTATACAACTGACATTTTCTTTTGAATTATTATGTAATTAATTGTCTCCTAAATGAAATATTTTTAAAGTTACAAACTATGGAATAACCATAGCATCCATTATGGTTGTCTTGTTGATTTTTTTTTTCTCATGCTGTGTAAGCTTCTTTTAAACTAGTTTACAGTCCCATCATAAAAAGCTGCATTTGTGTCAATGATAACTATTTGATATTATCGGCAGGCACCATTATGTATAAAAAAAAGTTTGGAAATTAAGCAGACCTGCAGTAAGCAAGTACAGTTTTGTTCAAGCTTTTTCCATGTTTTTACCATATACTAGTGAAGCCACTACTAAGTTAGTCACTGATGAATTTGTGTAAACAATGGACTTTCTCAAGGAGGATAGCAGATGGATGATCTATTTGAATTTTCTTTCAAGTCTTTACCAGTGTCTGTTAAACTGCCTTTCAGAAGGAGCCAGTTTATCAGTGAGGGATTAACATAGATAAATCAATTTGCTTGCACATGTTTGATTGGGCTACTGCATCTGGCCAGATTTACTTGATTTGCTGCAGTCAGTTTGGACATATTTAACTCGTATGCACATTATGGTTTAAATTGGAACTTGGAGTTTTGTTTTGGCCAGTATTGTTTCTTCAACATGTTAAAAATTAAGTTCTTTTCATCACTATTTGTATGATATTTTATTCAAACTAGTTGAACTTGAGAAACATATGACAGTTTCTTCCTGTTTTCCTCCCAAATGTTGATTGCTTTCAAAAACTAAATGAGAATCGCTCCATGTATCAAATTCATGTATTGGTTAAAAAAATTACTTAATAACAAAAAATCTTGCTAGATTTCAAAGCAACTTTAAATGCTTGCTTTGAGACATTTGGTTAATGTTTAAAATTCTGTTTAAAAGCCGATCAAGTCAGATTTTTTTGTAGAGTTTGATCTGCTGATACCCTTAAAATTGTGGGTTCCTTACCAAAGGAGACTTGTGCACCCATTAGAATGTTTGTTGGCTGAGAAACTTCATTCCATGATTGGCGTTTGAGGCTGAAGACAAAATTACAAGGTTGGTCAAGTTCAGTAATGTAGCTGGGGCACAGATAGTACTTGAATTTTTTTCCAGTGTTTTAGGCTTGAGGTCATGGAAGTATGAGTGATATACCAGGCAGTAGAGTTTCAGATGGTATTGATGTTCAATACTGTTGGTTTATCGTGTCTCATGGATACCCAATTTTGAGCTGCTAGATCTATTCTTAGTCTATCCTATTTAGCACAGTGGTAGAAACACAACATGATTGAGGGTTTCCTCAATATGAAGGTGGGATTTGGTTTCCATAAGGACTGAATAGTGGTAAAGGGATAGTAATAAGAATATTCCTATAATAATTGACATTTTATTGTGTGGTTTTGTTCTAACATTGTTATTAGGTCCAGAAATGTCCTCCAAACTGCTCCTCAGGACCAACCTATACGTGGCAGAACCACACTTCCTGGCTCATAGTCACTTCCTGGAGACTTCCAAGCTTGATAGTCCCCGCACACTTCCGTCTCCCAAGGCAGTGGCTGAAACAGCAAGTGTCTGTGATAGACTGTAGTCCACAGGTGGTAGAACAATGCAGGAGAGCCATCAAACTTAATCTGGACTAGAAGGCATCAGTTTTGGCCTTGAAGCCCACGTACAGCTCCCCTGCTCAGTCTTACCAGCTATGAGCCAAGATCTGCTGCAGGATTCTTTGGCCCTGGTCAGCATCGAGTGAGAGAGAAAATGGAGAAAGTGCACGAGGACACCCTGTAACCCTCATCAGTGTCATAATTGCACTTCTGAAACAATAGTCGAAAGGTCTGGACTTGTATTTGGAGAATGTGAGTTCACATCCCTCCAGGGCCGTTTCAGGATTGAAATTCTGTTTACTGAAAAGATATTTGGGAATTAAAAAGCCAGTGTCAGTGAAGAATAGTTATGTTACGAAGTTGTTGGCTTTCACTAATAACTAACAGCTGGACTAAAGCTTTCAGGGAAAAATACCTGTCACATACTCCCAAAAAGGCCTGTTATGATCAGGACCATATTGGGGACTGGACAGAATTTTAAAAGTTGATCATGTTGAGGTTGCTCCTGAAGCCACCCTGTTACTACAAAGAATAAAACTTAACAACAAGCTATTTTAAAAATAAGGGCTGTGACCTAGGCATCAAATGAGGATGCACCAAAGGCAAATCCAGGCAATCTGACTCTAAAATTAAAGTTGTGGAAGAAACAATATGGCAAATATTCTCAAACCTACTTATTGACTGACATCCCTGTCTTATCCATCACTGTTGTTCATAGTGTCAGTAGGGATTTTCCCGTGGATTTTTCAAGATCTCCTAAGGTTTGATGGTTTCAGATAAACTTCCTGCGAATAACTACCTTATATCTTCTCTTAGCTTTGAATTACTTCCACTTGGAGGAAGCATTCAGGGGAGTGAGGGCACATACTATGGACAGGGGTCATCACTAAATGTGGTTAGTTTGTAACACATCAGCAACTGACAGAGTTCAGAAGGATGCTGCCAGACTGGGAAGGTAGAACATGGTGATGTAACCAACTTTGAGAGACCAACCTTCTCGACCTCATTCCTGTCAATTTGCCTTTGCAGGTGCGTTTGTTCATGAAAGCATCGATGTGAGGTGTTATTATACTGTCTCATTGGAGAACAAGTACCCTCCTTGCACGAGTGGATGGTCCATGAGTGACAGGACCAATTTGTCATGGGATAGATTACATAGTTCTATAAGCTTCAAGCTTATTGTTCTAAGTTCAAATTGACTCAAATCAGCATTTAGCAAAATTGTGTTCTGATCTTCACAAATTGTACCACGATGTGTATCTTTATGGCATTGTACATTCATCATTATTAAGCCAGGTCATCAAGCTTGCCTTAAAAATAAGGTTTCAATTTGTTGAAACAAGTCAATAAAAAGTTGAATGTTGAAGACAGCTGAATATTTGACAATCTAGGAACAGTTCAAAGCTGTGCAGTAGTGCCATATTCAATTACAAATGGTGGTGCACAATTCAGCAATTTTGGGAGGAAGTAACTTTGTGAGTATGTATTCGAGTGAGACAGTGACTGAAATATTTCAACCAAATAATTAATAATTGATCTTGTGAGGTCACCATCCCTGATCCCAGTCTTCAGGTGTTTTGATTAACATTATGTGGCATGAAGAAATAGTTGGTTACTAATTACAATGAAGGTCATGGGCCATGACAACTTTGTGGAAATTGTGCTCAAGACCTACACTCTACAGCTTGCTAAATTCTGGCCAATGTGTTCCAAGACAGCTATAACACAGGTGTCTACCTGGCAATGGAAAATTGCCCAGTTATGTCCTGTCCACAGAAAATGCAACAAATTCAGGGGAGGTGCTGGTTTATCAAGTAATCCGGATCCCTAGACTAATATTCTGTGGCCATGAATTAAAATCCTATCATGGCAGATAGTGAAATTTGACTTCAATAAAATATGGAATAAAAAGCTAGACTAATGGTGACCGAGGTCACCAAAGATACGTATACAGCACCTTCCAAGTGTACAACAACTTCCATCTCAAAGGGTAAGGATAGCAGATATAATGGAAAGTCACTACCTGCACGTACCCCTCCAAACTATTCACTGCTCTGACATGGAAATGTATTGCTATTCCTTTGTTATCGCCGAGTAAAAATTGTAGAATTCCTTCCATAAAAGCATTGTGCATCTGCTCACAGCCCATAGACTGCAGTGGCTCAAGAAGATAGCTGACCACCACCTTCTCAAGGGCAACCAGGGACAGACAATAAACATTGGCCAGCCAGCAATGCCCACATCCCATGAGTAAATAAACAAAAGTCATCACCATCGATTGGCATTTGTCAAAACATATTGGTTCATTAATGTCCTTCAGAGAAGGAAAATTTACCTCCTTACTTGATCTCGCCTACTCTTTAGTAGTGTGGTTATCTCTTGACTCTGGGCAACTAGGAATGAGCAGATAAATACTGACCTAGGCACCGATGCCCTCATCCCTTGAAGAAATATAAAAAAAACCTGATAAACTACTGCCTTATCTTAGTACTTTCGTTCTTCAGAAAAGGGATGGAAAGAATCACTGCTGTCACGTAACCTCTTAAATCATGCTCAGTTTGGGTCTGTCAATATGGTTGGCTACAGATCTCATTACAACTGAGTTCGATAATGAGAGGTGAGCTATGAGTGCCTTTGAAATCTAGTCAACATATAAATGTGTTACACTGTAAAAGCTTTTGTAAAATTAAATTCTGCAGGCCCGGGTTCAAATCCTACCACAGCAGATGGTGGAATTTGAATTCAATAAAAATCAGGAATGAAGAGTTGAACGTTAACAATGAATCCACGGCCGATTGTTGGAAAAACCCATCTGGTTCATTAATGTCCTTTAAAGAAGGAAACTGTCATACTTGCTTGGTCTGGCCTGTGTGTGACTCTAGACTCACAGCAATGTGGTTGACTCTTAACTAGCCTCTGGGCAATTAGGGATGGACAATAAATGCTTGCCTAGCCAGCAACGCTGTCATCCCATGAATGAATTTTAAAAAAAATCAGTGGGGCATAGGCTCTCCTACAGGATTTGGAGAGATGCCTGCATCTCAGTCACAAGTCTCAGGATACTCGGGTTAGATTCAAAGTTTACCTATCTTAAGCTAATTCACCATTGACCATCATAAGGTGAAAATTTGGACTTTTGATGATCGACTGTTTTCAGCTCCATTTGCAATTTCTCAGGTAATAAAGCATTTTAGGCATACATGTAACAAGAACTTATCATTAAGATGGTGATGCTTGTGAGGACACCAAAGTCTGATTTATTCAAGGCCCAGATCTTACTGAATTGAGTAGATTTTAATTTTATTTGTCGTTTAAAGGATTTTTCATCATGTAGTTCACTGATTTGTATTTTGATGTTATTTCTAAAATGCTGCTCAGACTGGGTCGCTTAAAGCCACTAATGCCCCACATATTGAGATCTATGGCTTTCTTCTTGAAACCCTATGATGGATTATGGATATTAATCACAAACCAGAGAAAATTTAGCAGTAAATATTACAACCCTGAGATAACCTTATCCAGTAGAAATTTCTGACTAGCTGCAGGCTTGGGTGTAATGACAGCAGTAAAACTACATGCATTAATTTTTGTAGAAAATTACAACACAATGCAGGCAAATGTACATCAAATTTCAGTTTTAGTATTTTGTCAATTTATTTGGACATGGTATGTCACGCCTCTGTAGCCATCGCATCTTGAAGTTGGACTTGAACCCAGATCTTTTGGCCCAAAGGTAGGAACATGAGTGATGTACCACAAAACCCTGCCTCAAGGTTTTCTTTGAAAACAATACTTTATTTTTTGCTGATAGTGGTGACTTGCTAATTGAGAATTGTCAGACTAATTCTTGTACCATTCAGAACACCGTTTGGTGATATGTTGCTATTGCTTTGGTACATTCTGTTGGAGCTGCTTGTTATTGGTTGCACATACTTTATACATGTTGATGACATTCCATACAATTGTACCATTGTTGTTGTTTCCCTGCACTTCCACACTCTGTTTTTTAACTTCAAATCTAACCAGTCAGTGCACACAGCATTTGAAGTGCATACAATAAACTGTATGAATATGAAATTTGAGATCACATACCCAGTGAATGTTTCTTTTGCAAAATTCTTGTGTCTTCAATTCAAAAATCAAAGCTTGAAGTATTGGAAATCAGGTAGCATCTGTGGAGAGTGAAATAAGGTTAACATTTCAGGTTAATGACTCATCAGAATAGATTATCTAATAATCCTTTTCAAGTTACCAACCAAAATTGCGATTAATTCACGTTTTTCAATTAGCTGTATGTAATGTATTAGACAACACAAGTTGAAGATGTATCATTTTTAAAGAATAATGCAACATTTGTATTTTTGTTTTCCTGCTTGGCCCTCTTTGTTTGACAAATTTTATTGTCTCATTTTGCTTTCCAAATTCAAATTGAACTCCTCCTTGAAAATTGTACTGCACCAATTCTTAAGTAGGTTCCACATAATTTTCAAGAAAAACATTATCACGAAAAATCTTGAAGACCCCATATGTTTTAATACACAAATAGTTCATGGAGAGCACTCCGATCTATCATACCAATTTTGCTGAATAAAAAAGTATTGGCATATATTTTGTCAGTAAATTTGTTGATGGAATTCTCTTAGGTGGTGGACCATCCAACTCAAAACTGCCATCTGTTCAAACTGTGTCTCCGATGCCAGAGGACTCTGCAGCAAATATGAGGTAATTTTTTTTTAATTAACTTTTCATCAAGATCTGTTATGTTGCTTTTCGTTTATTTTTTCATTTGGCTGTTCTAAATGGAATTTGGTACAGCTTGATCTTGTGAAAAGAATTCCAGTTTTATTTACTGAGAATCAATTGTTACCATATAAAATTAGGTATTTAAACATGTGATAAACATTTGACATAATGGAGTGTGTTTCTGCTGCATTTAATACAACCGGTGGACAGAGTCTAACAAATGAAATGTACCAATATTTCAAGTTAAAAGAAAATACTCCAGATGCTCAAAATCTGAAATGAAAAACAAATCACTGGAGAAACTCAGAAGGTTCTGGCATCATCTATAGAAAGGAAAAAAAGTTAATGTTTCAAGTCCAATATGAGTTGTCTTCAAAAGAATGTAAGATAGAACCTATTGGAGTTTCTCCAATACTTTGTTATTATTTTAAGCTAATATTTTGATCTCCAAATCATAACTTTGAAATAATTTAGCTTAATTTTGTATCTTCAAATTAATCAATCATCATTGCAAAGTTTTAAATGTAACAATTTTCATTACCAATTTAGTATCACAGCAAGGCTCGAACGTGCACTGGAGAAGACAGCCCCTCTTCTAAGAGAGATTTTTGTGGATTTTGCTCCTTTTCTTTCACGTACTCTACTGGGTAGTCATGGGCAAGAATTGCTCATTGAGGGTACAAGTAAGTTTTCAAGTATAGTCTAAAATATATTGCAGGCTGCATTGAATTATATAAGATAGTTATGAATGATGTAGCTGAGTCCTCCTTTACTCTTTGTTCTTTCTCTGTCTCACTCTCTCACTCATTCTCTTTCTGTCTCTCACTTCTTTTGTTCACTCTCGCATGCTCTCCCCCTCTCTCGCATGCTCTCCCCCTCTCTCGC